CATCGGCACAAATCTGCGTAATTTTATATTAATAGCCAGAGTAAAACAGTTACAATGTAATGCGAGATACAAATTAAATATGACACCACATGGATCTGAAAGTGAATGGGGCATTAAACTCAAACTCGTCTCTTAATGAGACATGGCATTCATCAAGTAAGGGATTACGATGATGTTGGGTTTACAGATATAAATTTAAAACTATCAGTTTTCATAAAGTAAGCAAAGTAGATTTTATTGCTGGAGCACAAACTCCACTCGTGAAATGGGTTCAGATATCCATTGGTTATTTTTTTTTTTTTTTTCTTTAAACGTAAATTTATCAGAGCGTGTACAGTAGATGTTGACACATTTTTAGGACTATTTAGACGAAGGATTTTTTTAAAGCTAATCTGTAGTGAAATGAGAATTTCTGGTAACAGCTTACGATCTGAAATGAGATACATATATCGTCTACTGTCGTGAAATTTGTTCTTTAAAAATTCGCCCACCAGCTGCCGAGCGGTAAAATCGCTGAGCACTAGTTCAACCTGGGTTCATGGTGTGGTGTGGTGTATTTTATTATGGCAAAGCACACTAGGGCTATCTGCCTAAGGGGAGGGATGCCTTTCGTGGAGGACTTTCTAAGGGAAACTGGCTCGTATACACGTTACACATGGGGAAAACCACGAAAACGCCCATGCAGCCAGCCCGTTCGCGGGATTCGAACCTCGGACCGAACTACCAGTGTTCAGCGTCTTTACCGCTCGGCCGCTGGTGGGCCCCAACCTGGGTTCAAATCCCAGCGAAGGGACAGGTGCCTAACTTCAACCTTTTAAATAAAGCCTCAGTACAGCCAAAAAGTGTAAATCTGGAGATATTTTTCCATATAATATTTAATTTCAGTTGCTTTGATAGTTCTGTCAGGATGAAAGATTTGTGAGAAGCAGAACTGAAAATAATTCCTAATTTTTTTCTTTTATTTTGACCTTAACCATTTGCGCTACGACTAAACTTCACGGTTGCGGTGCCGTGCGCTACAAGCGGTAGTAAAGTGTCTCATTTACGCCGCTCCGCGTCTGCGAGTGCAATCCAAAGCTGTAACTCGAGAAATAAACAATCTCGTTGTTAGGCGACGTGTGCACCACGTTATTTTCAATTTTGCGATAAATGCCTATCGACGTGGTGTTCACGTCGCTCGCAGTTTGAGACAAAAGCAACTCGATGTGCGTGGCCCGTCTTTTTAGCGCAAGTGGTTAAAATTATTGCCTTGGCGAATTTTTGGCGACTAGAGGTAAGAATTTAACTGGCATTAGACCTGCGTCCACTAGTAAAGATTTGATATAATTAAATTTATCTGCATTTTTCAAAGCAGATTTATTATAGCAGATTCGCACTGAGTACACAGTTACACAAAAATTTGGCTCCGCTCTTTTATTTACACAGTTACCTAAAATCGCTGAAATAAAATTTTTCTTAGAAGTCATAATTCTTCCATTCATAAAATGTTTGCGTTTCAACTGAAATACGCATGCCCTTTAAAGCTGTTTGACTGCGTATAAGGATTACAAGCCTGGTTGCGCCATCTCGTGGTACAACAAGTAACAAAAGATGGAAGCCTCTAGATTGCTATTAGAATCCCAAAAAGATAGAATTTTCCATTGATCATACATTTCTTTCCCTCGTCTATAATTCTTCCAAAGAGAGAGGAGAAAAAAGACATAGATTTAATCTAATATTTTCTCTTCCCATTCATTTACATAAAGATGAATTTTTCTATCATAGAAAAGCAATTTACTTGTATTTTGTTTTAATCAGAAAGTCACGAAGCAGTTTCAAAGTATTAACAAATTAAATTCAGTTTCGTGCCAATTCAAGCCTATAAAAATATTTACTTTGTCTAATATTTTTTTTCTTTTGGAAAGGTAGCTTATTCTTTAAAAGAATGTGTGATCGATGGAATAAAAAATCTCGGATACTTTGATGTTCTTCCACGGGCCCTAATATGACACTGGATATGGATATTGAAGAGTCACTAATGGCTCTTTGTATCTTATTTCCTGAACACTAAAGCTTTCATCTTTATATGAAATTTGAAAATAGAATAAATGATATTTATGTGCCATAACTCAAAACTGAATACAATATTTTTGAGTGTTGAACGTATGTTTTGATAGGTCTTATTCGCTATTCTACTGTCTGGATATAATACGCATATTGCTTCTTCTACGGACTGTGAACTATGTCCTCGCTTAGCTGAAAAGTACGGTTAATCTGGGAGCTATTAAAAAATTCACAATTAGGAATAACCCATATTATAATTAACAGAAAGTACTCTTAATTTTGGGTAAATACCAGTGATTAGTTGTATTTTCATGGAGTTTATTCATAAATACATTGCCTGCGTAAAATTAATTGGTATTAAAAAAGGACAAAATTTTAATTAATGGAAAAATCATTAGAAATAGAAAAACTAAGTTAGGAATGGCATTAAAGTAGTATTATCTTGAACAGCTGTCAGTGAATTCGAAATCGCATGAAAACATCAGATGAAACTGCTTTTTCACCCAGAGTTTCCATCGAGAGACAACACCTACTCTTACTGCTCTTAAACTATTTTTTAATCATTTTCATATTTTCTGTAGACAGCTTTGTATTATATTAATGATTTGTGGTAATCTGTTGTTTCCCAATAAGCAATCTTAACATTTTTTTCAGACAGGACCCTATTAAAGAAAACCCAGCAAATCGGGAGTTAACTTAGATGTGGTGATAAATATACTTTGCACTGATCTTTCGAATTCAAATTTTCTTCTTCATTAAGGTATAGAAATAATTTTAATGTATAAATAAAATATAATCATTATTAATAATATCGCATTTTTAACATTTATTTTAATTCCATGAATTAAGATTCTCCGCTTACACATTAAAAATGTAAATTTAAATAGTATTGTCCACTCACAGATTGTAGTGCTTTTGGAGGTGTGCCAGGAAAGTTCGATTTCTCATTTTACGGAAAAATAGTTGTTTGTAAGACTTCCCGTCGCACATTGATATTCTTTCTTTATTATTTATTTACTGCAAACATTCTGAGCTTTTTCTGTTTCTTTCTGGTTGCCTGAGTACCACGCGGTATTTAAAAACCCAAAAGTTTCACCAAGATAAAATGGAATAAGCTTATATATCTCGGGGAAACTGACTACCTGTTTCTGTAAATGGATTGTTTTCTCACTCATGCGCAGAAGCATTGAGGGATTCAGCTTAACGGAAGTGTATGTTAAGAACCTAAATACTTCAATGAGAAAACTTTTATAGGAATTTTTATTTGCATGTTAGGCTTCACATCAAAAAGTGTCTGAGCACAAAGTGAGTTTCAGCGTCCCAAAGTCACAGCCCCACTGGGAAAGATTCATTCTTCCTGCATCGAGAGCAAACAGCCATGTTTGGATACTCTCATGAAGAACATTTTAAGAGAAGTTATTATGTCTAATCGCCCTTGAAACGGATAGAGTTTTATTCAAACTCTACGCCAAAATACGGCCGCGTTTGGGGGGGTCTAATTTTATATTTAATCGGTCTTAGCTCAGAAGTCATCATTAGCGCAATGCAAAGAAACCTTTTCAAAGAAAGTCCCTATGTCCAACCCGATTCATGGATTATGCTCAACCCCCTCCCAAAAAAGAATAGAATATTTTTTTGTCTAATTACAGTTTTTAATTCTTTTACCGATAAATGTACTCGACGTCTCGCTATCTCCACGCTAAGTTATTTTGATTGAAACTTCTTCGTTGTCACTCTGTATTTTTTCTTTCAGCCTCACGAGTGTCGAGTAGTTGGGACCATTAAATACTAATAGTTCGAGCCAATTTCGAACCCGACAACGAGCTGATTACATTGGTATTTTTCGGGGTTTTTTCCAAGTGTAGCGTGAATACGATCCGGTTTTCCTTAGCAAATCCTCGACAAAGGCATCCCTCTTCTTAGACAGACATCCCTCGTATGCTTTGCAATATCCTAATAACTCAAACATCTTTATCACAACCATCTCTATCTTAACTATCTCTCATCTATCCATATCATCTATCTTTCACAGTTGATTTATTTTTAACAATTTCAATCCATTCAATAATTATTATTTCTCGATTCCTAAAAACGTGATTAATGAATTGTTCGAAACATTTCATTTGTTTTCAAAAACTCAGAATGATTGACCATTAGATCATCAAACATTTTCGCCCTCATGGATAGAATGCTTTTTTACGGCACATAACCCCAATTTGGGTCAAGCCTTTTCCTAACGTTGTGTTGCTTAGATGTTTCCAAGCAATAAAGCAAACATGAAATTGCATCTTTTTCCCTTAATTTGTACGGTTTTTTATGCTATTTGAGCGCCAGAATAGAATCATATAGACTAACAGACGACTTGTACTCCCTACTTACCTAAGTACAGTAAACACAAACTTGGATGAAGGTTTAAAATAAATCTGTTTATTAAGGCATATTGCTTGCGAGAAAAGTAAAAAAGACCTTCAGAATTAAAATATGAACTACAAAGTAGCAAGCATCTCAAAAATTACTCGGGCTCTAAACATTGGAGAAGCAAATGTTGCTTGAGAAACTAAAGTCAATAAAACAATTTAATAGGAGAGAGACATAACAGAGTAAGCGATAGCTTTCAAAAGCTCATCCTACTACGTCTACTGCGTCTAGTTAAAGACACTATGGGCATCCCCGTATAAGACAAGAGATGTGAACTGCCCCCTAAAGAGAGTTTTTATACACCAAAAGAAGGATCTTAATGTGGCCCGAAGCCTGGCTGCCTCAACTCCTTTCAAAGGAGGACTAATGGCTCACTCTAGTTTCTACATAAAGGATATGCTGAGTACTGCAACCTGCGCAAACATGTACAAACCAACGTCTAAAGAGACTGGTTTGCCATGCTGCCTGCCAGAAGAATAGAAGTAAGCCACAGACAGAGTATAAATCTAAAATACAAAATAAATTATCCAGGGGGTAAAATTAATATCTAATGCCTCACGGTTTTGTGCATCATCCTTGCGCAGGAGTAATGCTAATATTCTCTGTACAGTTCCAATTTTAATATATACGTTGCCAAAGCAGATGCAGCAGCAAGTACAAAAATATACCTTCCGGGAAAAAGAAAATCTGCGCTTAATAAACCTACTATTGTGCAGAAACAAGCATTACTTTAAATACTTATGCAGTTTAAACTATAGCAAATAATATTTTAATCAATATCTTAAAATAGAATAGATTAACTACAGAAAATCTATTCGTAAAGGTCAGAGTGACACTACATACATGGAAATACGAAGAAAAGAAATAACAACACGTTAAAAAAGATATTTATTTTTAACATAATTTAAGACACTTCTTGACGCAATTTTAGCTAAATCAATCACATAGGTTTGAAATAAGTAATCTTAAAATAGCTAACTCTTGCCAGCGCCTGGAATTTCAGTTCCTGGAATTTCAATAGATGCCAGTTTCTGGAATTTCGATAGATGCTTAATTAACCTAAGTTAAACCCACGCATGTCTAGAATTTGTATTACTAAAACGCTAAAAACAGTTCCAATAATAAAGAATGCTATTGCAGGAAACCTCTGAAAAGATTTCCAGTAAAAGCTTTTATCACGACCAATTTTGAACAAGCTTTCTTAAGGAGCTATATACAACTGATAAATTAAGCAATTTTCTTTATAATCTCTTAGAATTTATTCGCCGTCTGGACATTTTCGGGGAAGTGGAACTAAATTTTTCAATAGTTTATTATTCATTTAATAGGTATTCTTAGAATATGCACTATAGGGAAATATCGCGTTCCTCAGGCATACTTCCGTTGTGTAAGCGGTTAGCACACCCCTCTAAGAAATTAAAAGTCTAGGGCTCGAATCTCGGTTGATTTTTTCACGTTTCTAGTTCCTAAAAAAAACCTTACAGCACAAAGATTCTAACTTATATAATGCAGAGATATTTAGAATTTTTCGGAACTAGAAGCATAAGTAAGAAAACATGCACTCGCCGGAATTCGAATTGCAGAATATCCAAGATTAGTTGGATCTGTTACCACTTACACCACGACAACATGCACGTGGTTATGTAACAATTTCTTACTTTCTTCCAGATTTAAATGGCGAAGGGGTATAGAAACAAGATTCGGTCACCAAACCCAAATGGCGACAAATTATCACCACCATATTTTAATTCAAGCGCAGCTGCAGAGATAATTTACAATTTTTGGCGTTGGGAAGTATGAGAAATCAATTGTGCTGTCACCGGTATTCGAGTCATAGATCCTTCGTTTCATCCAGCTGGACGTGCTAACCATTTATGGCATTTATGCCATGCTCGAAGAATGCACTTCTTTCTTGTAATATTAACAAGCTTTTATTTTAGTGGATATTTACTTTAAAGAAATTAATAAGGACAAATTGCTAATACTCAGTAATTATATATAATTTAATGATATATAATTTCCAGTCTAATGATGTCTAGGATTATATTCTCCTATTCGAGAAAACTGCAGCACCATGAAAGTATCATGCGAATAAATTGAAACTTACAGGAAATGAAAAGCAGGTTATAATGTGCAAATGAATAGAATTTCAGAATGATAGTGTATGCGTGGGTTGAGTAGGTCCCTTTGAGCTTTGTTAGCTGTATAAATAGACGGCTGTAGCGGAAGGTTAAATGTAGTACTTCGTTATCTGCCAGCGACAAACTTTCCATCAGAAGTCATTACGTGTCGTTGATGACACACACACACACACACACACAAAAAAAAAAAAAAAAAAAAAAAAAAAAAAAACATTGTAAGCAAGTTCCGCCATTTGAAAGGGAGCGAATGAACGTCGCAAGAGAAAACAGATTACAGATTTTTCTATTGTGAAATCACAACTCGTATGGAGCGTAAAGAGCCGTTCCCAGTGGGGTTTATCTGAGCTAACGGAGCCAGTTTCGTGTGTCGACTAGCTCCGCTATGCCTGCAGTTCAGATTTTTCAACTTGCTGCCCTATGGGAAAAAACTGGTTTTGGTGATGGGTCGGCTACGTCAGTTGTCTCCGTTAGCTCACATAAACCCCAGTGGGAACGGCCCTTAATGTCTCGTCAATGCTGCGTGTGTACTAACAATGGGCTCAAAAGTGCCGGAAACCTAGCACTGAATCACGAAACGACAAACACATCATCTGCATGACAGTGACAGATCATACATCTTCCAACTCAACAATCGGTACAACTTCGGAGTACTGCTGCAGGTACGCCATTGTTAGCTTCAAGAGTTTGTCGGCGTCTGCAGTGCAGCGTATTGCGTGCATGCCTTCCTTTGTGTTGGATTCTCCTGATGCAAAAGTTATCGACGTCTACAATTTCAATGAGCCCCATCGACACAGCAACTGGAATGCCGATTTTCAACAAATCGTTTTTCCTGATGAATCCCGCTTCTATTTCGAGTACAAAGATGCTCGAGTGCGCGTTAGCTACTTTACGGATGAACCAAAGAACCTCTAGGATTAAGAAGGAAAGCTTCGCCAAAGCATGAGTGGTTCCATCAGACCGAAGAAGAAAAATTATACACGATGTTTACTTTATAGCGTTAAATAGCTTATCGAGCCGGTATCGAAGGTTACGTTTGTCAGAAGTTCAAGCATCTGTGACGCCATTTCTTTCGAGCCTTGTTAAAGTAAATCTAATCAACGATTCGATCAATCAATTAATAGATTATTCATTTTGAGTAAAAAAAAATCTAAGAAAACCCAAGTATACTTTTCGATTTGGCGACGCGAATTTGTCCCTCCATAATTTAGCAAAGCAATAGTAAACTAGTTAAATTACGTTTACGGAATCTTTCTGTCTTTTACATGGGTGAACGGCATCTTCTGGAGTGCTTTATCCGGCTTCAACTGGACGACTGCCAAGCGTAATGGTTCGAGGAGCCACTGAGTATTGTTATGAGTGATCTCACCTGATAAAAATGGAAAGTACTCTCACTAGCAACTGCTATATCAGAGAGGTCGTATAACGCTAAATCGAATCCTCCGTTCAATGCATTCTTTCAGCATTTCAACAAAAGAATAATGCCCGTTTACATGTTGCTAGAAAATTTTAAGGCTTCTTCTCAGCATGCTCACTCCTTGGCTTCTTTCTTCGTCAGAAATATCTCCTATTGAACAAGTTTGTTAGTCATGGACCAGCAACTGAGTGGCATGATCGGCTCTACCCAGTCATGAGATTTTTTGTCATTTTGCTATATATTACCTTATTATTTAAAACGTTTTGTTTTCCTTTTTGCTTCAGTGATTTATAGTAGCTTAAAAATGAAACTTTGTGGAAAAAGGGATTAATTAATTATACTACTTTATATAAAAGGGATTAATTAATTAATTATACAAATTTTGCAAATAAATATTTCTTAAATACAGTTCTTCATAAGCAGATTTCAAAAGCCAAGCACTCAGAAGGTTAGTATGCATCCTTCACAAGACATAAGTTGAACTTAACTTTTGGTTAGTCTTTAATTGTTTAGTTTTTCTTGTGCATGCTTTAATTACTTGCGCATGCCTTATGGCTTGAGCGAATATATGCGACGTGACACAAAGAGAAGATAGAGTAATGTTTAAATTAAGACTCGTGTTAGAAGAACTTCAAATGATTGTGATTCCCTGCAAAATCTGCAATTAAAACTCCTGACTTAAAGTGATAATTTTTCCGGTATGTTAGTTATTAAATAATTTTAAATAGCCCGACTAAAAAATATTTAAAATATTTTTAAGTATTTCATTATAACACAGACCTTTTCCTCCCCCCTCCCCATCTTTTACCTGAGTAAAGAGTTCCCAGGAAATTTATCATAAGTCCAAACGACATAAAACGATATAGTGTATATATTCAGTACTCACTCTAATTATGTAATCTTATATTTTTGTAAATTGTGCACTTTTTTTGCTTTAAAAGTAATTGAATTATGTTGTTCTTATGATCCAGAAAGTTTTTTTTTCCCCTTTAGTTAATCTGGCTGAAATAGTTGCAGAGTTATAGTCACTTTAAAAGTTGTTCAAATGCGACTAAGCCTAACGTAGCCACTACTTGTTTACCTTTGAAACTATTTAGCAGAATAGTAGTATATTAAGTCAATTTCTGCACCTTCAATGCCTTTTTGCCGAGCGGGACCAAAAAAAACTATCAGTTTTGTGCACCGAAAAATCTGTTTCCTTGCGCGCAGGTCGAATTGCTTGCTTTTGCGTGGAAACTCTACTTTTAATTGTTTAAAAAAAAAAAAAAAAAAAAAAAAATTAACTTCTTTAACTGTGGTGTTTTATGTTTTTTTGTATTTTACAATTTTTAATGAAGATGTTTTGAATTTTTATGTATTTTTGCTATGCCGCGAAGTGAGAAATGAATTAATTGAATGAGAAGTATATCTCTAAGGAAATTGAAGGGAACAAGTTTAAATTAAATGTAGCAAAAAAATATGTAAAATTTAATAAGCCACACTATGAAGTCATGTGGTGTATACATCATATTTTTTTTTCATTTTACAAACAAAAATATGCATGGAGCTTTATTGTACTAATATCTGCCATTATATCATCATGGCATTTTAGCAGTGTAAAAATTTTCTTACTGTTGCTACTTTATAGTAGCAAAATATTAAACCCGAGCTAATAATTATTTCATTTCAGTTTTTTTATCTTCTGAATTTTGTGAAAACACTTATAAGTTGCCATTCTTATTTAAAATATGATAGAAATTTCACTTTCGTTGCTTTTGATGTATTTATTCGTAACTTTACTGACTTGCTAATACCTTTTTAATTTTTTATTTATAATATGCTAACGTAATCGAAACGGATCTTTTTTTAACTATCAGAATGAAGGAATAATTTATTGCATCTTTTTTTTTCTGCTGATATGGTATGATTTTACTTTGAAATTTCAAAACTACGAACTACTTAATTCTATAACATTTTAAAAACATCCGTCGCCCGTAATAATAACGTCTGACGTTCGGCGTCCTATTGCGTGAAATATCTACCTAAACTGATCAAAACTTCCCTGAAAATAAACAGGGCTCAACTAAAATAAATTACTCAAGTATGAGAAAAGATTGTTCCAGTAACATCAGTGGCAGGTGAGTAAAATCATAGGCTATCTGTTATTAATGCTATTTTTATTAATAACCTTTAAATTCTAGTTCCTTTTTACTTATTAAATTTCAAATGCAGTAAAACTCCGCTGAACTGAAATTCAAGCTCAGATTGTATGCTTTTTGGAGGACCAGAAATCCGACCCCATTACTACATTAAATATAGCAACATGTTTAATTCTTGAGTACTTAACGTATTTTTAGTGGACCATTTTTGAGAAACAAAAACCATTGCCAAACAGTGTAATTTAGCACTCCCAACACTCTCATTAAATCGCCGCTTTGGTTTCATGTAACCCGATTAATAATTGATCAGTGAGTTTAGTTTTTGTGATGAAATATATGAGTTAATTGATATTTCTCTACTCTTCCTGGCATTCCAAAAAAAAATTATTGAGGTGCTACTTTGGTAGACGGTTGCACGGATATTTGGCGACTTACATTGGCGCAATTGTTGGCGCGGTTTTTACAATCGTCAGCCATCTTGAAAAACGCTGTTTTTACGTATTTTACGCACAGTAAAGTATTTAAAACTTTAAAAAAATAAATATCTTTAAAAATAATGGATTAATTTTTTGTTGAAAACGTTGTTTTTTAAGATGGATAGCAAATGTAAATAAATGCATTTCCTAAAAGTATAAAATACTAAAGTAAGGTTAAATTATTACTTTCATATAGCAAAGAAATAGAATAAAAACACCGCTATAAAAACATTTCGCCAAGGTTTAACTGGATTAAAATATTACTTAAATTGAATATCGAATTAAAAACATTATACCAACGTTTAAAAGAATTAAAATATTACTTAAATTCAAATCCTTTAAAATAAGTTTTATAGTATATAATTATTTAACATTAAAACATATGTGGCAATAAATATCTCAGCAATTTTTGAAAACAGTATATTAATTTTTTAATAAAAATTGAAGTATGCAATTATAAAGTAAAAGACAAATATGTACTTACATTTTTTGAGTATTTTACCTGTCGTATATTGATAAGTACCACAAAAAAAATCGGAATCATAATTTAGATATCAAAGAAAAAAATTTGCTGGTAAAAAAGGAGGAATATCTAATAGTTTTTTTACCGTTACAGCGGTTATTTCTACCACCGTGATCACAGTACCATATACGGCCGTCCTCAGAATCGGCTCTTTTAACGATCATCATCTGTGATCCACATCTCTCGCACTTCATTGAAGAAGCAATTAGCGAGGTTTCCTCCAAAAATTTAAAATAAATTTCCTCTGAACCTTGTAACAATTTATAAATAAATCTTTGATTAGAAAAGCCAGGTTGGCCAAAATAAGGTCTCAAAGGACAAATTTTTTTGATTCCGATACCAATAATTCTTGGTAATTACCAATAGCAACATTTATCTTCGAAACGGACATATCCATTCGCTTTGAAATCTAAGGAATTCGAAGAATGAATAATAAAATTTTAAAATGGCGTGGTAATGCACAAATATTCAGTAACCAATCAGGGAGCTGATTACATCACGCATAGAATTAAAATTATTTAAATAATCATACATAATAAAATCATTTAAAAAAAGATGCAAAATTAAATTGTATTTTAATATTTACCAGCCATAAATAATGTTTAAAACAATAAATTAAATTTATAGATATTAAAACCAATTACTTTTAAAGTAAGGTGACGTCATTAATTACATCATCCACAACATAAAATTTCATAAACAATAAAATTTTTATTTCAAATAAAAATGCAAAATTAAATTGATTTTTAATATTTAGAAGCCATAAATAATATTTAAAACACGGAATTTATGCATAATAAAACGCATTATTTTTTTTAATAAAATGACAGCAAAGTATCGGTTACCATAAATAACTTGTCCAGCAATGGTTTTACCATAAGCCGTATCGCTCGCCCAAAAAAAATCGCCAAAATCCGTGCAATCGTCTACCGAAGTAGCACCATTATTGAAATTTGGGTCCTACCTCCTGTGGAAGAGCACGTAGTGCAGCATTTTTAAAGATACGGGATCCTAGCATCAAAAAGGTAAATGTTAATGGATACGACATGAGACTTTACTCAAAAATGGATAAAAGTGTTGGCGCATGTTTCCTTCCTAACTTCCGCCGGAATGACTGCTGTAAATTTTAATTCATATTTATTAAAGTTTTTATACGTTGTACCGTAACCTGTATCTGTTGCTTATTTAATAAATAAAAGTTGGGTAGTTTAGGTTATAAAGCACACGATTCATCTCTTGTATAAAGGGATGGATACTTTAGCGAACCATTTTTTGAGGGAAATTCGTTCGTATTTACGTTTACGTTTACCCATGAGGGAAACAACCAAAATATCCATGCAGCCAGCCCAAATTTAGACTCGTACAATAAAATAAAATAAATAAAAAAGTGCTTTAAATAATAAAATTTTAACATATTTTTTTAAATAGAGCTTAATTTAATTAATTATCAGAAGGCATCATTTTAAATCCGAAATAATACGATGTCTTACCAATAAAAACAAACAGTTTTACAAATCTTATTACTTATTTTTATTATGGTTTTGAGTTTGTTGTAACGTTAGGTGATCAACGCTGCCAAAGTTGGTGATTAATCGCTTTTCTCCAGAAAAGCCGACAAGTACAGAGCGATCTGTTTGTTCTTCACGCTTGGATGTTTGGCGAAAGTTCCGCGGCATATACGGCAATTTTCGTGGCCAACGGTGTAATATGTAAGTACCAATTTTTACATGAACGAATTTTTACGAGCGCCGATGCTTTATGAGAATTGAGGGAAACAGGCAACTTTGAAATATCAATTTTTAGACACAAATTTGTAATTTAAGATTGAAAATACAGTTTACTAAATCTTAAATAAGTTTTATGAATATTAATTATAAAATTTTATACAATAAAATATTGGCAGGGCATGTATGATTTCCCAACGAGTTTTGTCACCGTTTTCTGATAAATGCGTTTTGATGTTCTTCAACGCTTTGATAAAATTCGACACCATCATTTATGATAAATTCAATGGTGATGCAGAGGTCTTGGTATATTACACTATTTTCAATGTAATAAGGCCGTGGTCTCAAACTAAAATTGCCTGCAGGTCGAATACACGATCTGAAAAATGCTGACGGGGCAGAATTTTTTCTTTTATTAACAAAATGAAAAATTTTATTAATAAAACATTTTCTAAATCAATTTTAAATTTCGCTTACTAAATACTTGTTAAGATATATAGAAACAATAATAATCATATCTCAAAGAAAAATTCAAACTTATTTTCTATATGAATTGGTTTCTATTGAATTTTCTATTGAATGGTATTCTTAAGAAATTTTTCTTGGATGCACTCTGTAATTCAAATATATTGACAGCTAACTATAAAATCCTCAGATTGAAATCCTCTTTCAAATAATTCTAACATGTTTAGTTCATCATTAAACAGCATACTTTAATTTGAAATAAGAATGAGCAAATTATAAAAAATTTTTAAGTTCTCAGAGAAAATATACCGAGTGGGATAAAATTTGAGAATAAATTATAATAATCTGGTCTTTTTCTCTTATTTATTACGTTTCTCTTTGACTCATTAATAAGAATACATCTAAATAAAAATAATTATAAACTTTTTAATCTTCTTTATCAGCTAGGCACTTGATGGCATTTCAGTTCTCATAAAGTTTGTAGCCTTAGAGAGAAATGTCCAGAAATTATCTTCACCACTTCTATAGGTCTATCGGGTTCTCTTCTTATTAATTTTCAACTTTGTAAAAAAGGCTGTTCTAACACAAATGCGATTATTGGTAGTGCAAAATTTCGTAACTGATTTATGTTTTGACAAGTACGTATAAAAGCACTTTAATAAAATCTACATCTTCAAATCCTTGAATAAGTTCTATATCACATTGCAAATTAATCAACTCAATTTATAGATTTTCTAGTGCGTTATTCATGTTCGTTTTCAATGGAAATGAATATAATGTAAGCTTGAACTTCAAGTAACAAAAATCTTGAAATATTTGCGACAAGTACTTACTGAAATGTCTTCGCGGACCGCAAAAATATTGCTTCGAGTTCCGCATGCTAGGTCACAATAGTAAGGAACTTTCGTTCCCTATCTAAAAGGAAACAAAAAAAAAAAAAAAGGTTAAAAAAAAAAAAAGAAAAAAGGTAGGTAGGTAGTAAAAAAAAGGTATTTATAAAAGTAAAAAACAGACTCTTTTTTTTTTTAATTGTCTGTATTTCTCCGTGATTGCGTTATGCTGCATGTCCCCATATAGATATTGCACATTTTGTAACGCAGATCGTAAAATTGTTTGCGCCAAATTACCTGGTTTTTTTTTTTTTTTAATGAAAATTAGCTTTTCTTACCTAATAATGATCTTAGGATGACAACGATGAAACTAACTTTTTTAATATGTTTTCCAAAATGTGGCCTGAAAGTAAGCTTGCTATTTAAAGTAAGGAAAGTGTTTCATTTTCCCGTTCAGTTTCCTCTTCGAAGTAACATAATGTTACCTGATTTCTTTTTCGTTATACTTTCCTAAAAATTATAATCGTTTAATTACTGGGCATCAACAGCTATTCTCCAGTCCGTTAACCAATCTTCAGGATAATTTTCCGGGAAAATTTCTAGGAGCATCCAGGATAATTTTCCAGTTTATTTTGAACTGTATTAATATTTGCAGCTTGGCTAATAACGTAATTTAAAGCACACGATAAGATGGGAAGGGGAAAAAAAACAGTACATTAACATATTGTTAACGGGTCGCCACTTGACAAGAAATCTAAATAGATGAGAAGAATACTAACGATACATAAAGCTTCTGGAAAGCAAAATATGTTTGTAATAACAGTTCTGTATCGTATAATGTAATAGTGAGTAATACCGAATTTGTTCAATACTCGGACATTTTAAGTGAAAACCTTTAAGCAATTCCTGCACACATGGGGAGAACAACAATTCTCCAACAGTTCCCCTCATATGCCGTCAG